GGCCCCGGGGGCAGCGCTGCGAGACCCGGGAGGTATCCGCGGCCAAAGGGCCGCCCCCTGCCTCTCCCCCACCTCCGGGGGAGCCGGCCTGGTGCCAATTAATTCTGGATGCACGCGCCGCCCTTTCCCCCTGCAGCGAGCCACCGCCAGCCCTCCGCTGTAACTGCCTGCGAGGTAGGCACGAGACTCGGCGCGTAGGGCCACGGTAGGGCCACTCCAACCACTCCCAGAAATACCGCCCTTGAGAAGAAAATGACGCTATCAAGCGGTGCACGGAAGGCTGTTTGTCTCTCCCTCCCACCCCATTCATCGCCGCAGCTTGATTTATTTGCCGATTCTCAGGGTTGTGAAGAATTGGTTTCTTAGATACTCTCACATGAAGCAAGCAGCCACTTTCTGGGAGTACAGATCCAGCAGGATCCATCAGCCTTGACAAGCAGGAGCCCAGCGAAGTGCAAGCGCCCACTCTTTCTTCCAAAGCACGAGCGCAACGCTGCACCTACAGAGTAATGTGCAAGGCAAGAAAGAGCAGAAGCTGCGGAAAATAACAGGCACGAGAGGCATACCTCCCCCCCGCCCCCCCCAAACCAGGCTGCTGCTGCAGTACATTATGCAGCTGCAATCCAGCAAAACGCCAAGGAAGAAGAGGAGGATACGTGGCCAGTCTAGTGTGCAACATAAAAGCTAAGATACCCTGGGACTGTGCCTGCACCACTGCCAAGAGCACCATCAGACCTGCAATTGCAGGGGTTTCCCTTTGCATACAGGAAGATAATCAGCTCTCGTTCTTTCAGTAGTACCCCTCGCCCACAAGAGAGGTATCTTTAGGGCTCTCAAATCCCAGACAGAATCCTGCTGGGGGCACGGGGTGGGGGGGAAGAAAAAGAAAAAAAAGGTGGGTCATCTTCATGACAGTCTTTCAAAACAAAAACAAAGCCCTATAGCCATATAAATATATTATCTAAATATTAAAAATATAATTTATATATATTTTTATATATGTGTGTGTGAAAACCCCTGTGGTTTTAATTACTGAAGTATCCAAGGATTTGCTGCCTCTCAGCCTTTATCTGCTCTATCTCGGTCAAACCTCATAAGGCTGCATTTGAAATCACACTGCACTAAGAAAACAAATGATTAAAGCAGAGCAAGGGAGTCAGGGGATTAGTTTATTCTGCGTGGCCTTGAGCAAGTCATTTTTAGCTCAGAGGCCCTAATCTTATAGTGAGCCTGGGGCAGATGAAACACTTGAACACCCACACAAAAGCACACTTAGTTTTTCCTCATCTGAAAAAGGGGGATAACACCACATACCTCTCTCTGAGAAGCGTCTTAATCATCAGTCTCCATTAAATGCTTGGAGATGCAAAGTTTTAAAATGATTAAGCATGAAACCAAATGAACATTTTGCAATGCCAGCGGAGTCAATAAGGTAGAACGACAAGACAAGCACCCATTGTTTTCTGCTCACAATCGTCACTGGAAGAAAATCTAACACTAGGAAGCTGTAATAGTCTCTTCCCCTCCTAACAACCAGCTGTAACTACAAACAGAATACAAAAGATGAGTGACTAAATGAATTAGTCCTGAACTGCATCCTCTATCTTGTAAATGCAGGAAGCCTACACAGAGCGGTTTCAATGGGAGTAATGAAGGAGAAAAGCAAGCTCCGGGATCTCAGCCCTCGAATTGCCCAGCCTGCGGACAAGAGGTACCTGTTTTGCAAATAAAGGAACAAATCTTGCAGCTGTCACGACTTAGAAAACACCATTTACATTACATGCAAGCCTTGTCCTTCATTAGGGCCATGACAATTCCAGTGTCCTGAGTGTCATTCATTCTGTGTATTCAGCATGAGACACTTTGTTGCCTGCCTGCTTTTTATGGTAGGTGCAAGTTCATATTATTCTTACCAGCACTTGCAACTTTTTGTACTAGTTTTCCATTTCAGTGCATGTATGTATGGTGTACCTTATAACGTCACAAGCCAAAACAAGATGAGACAGCTGCATTGCAAGTCCTTAGAAGTAGACATGCTCTGAAAACACACTAGAAATTTAAAAGTGGATTCTCAGCACCCTCTTGTGGATTTCTGCTGTGATAACTACCAAGTATTAGTAAAACTCATTACAATTCAGAGCTACAGAAGAGTTATTCTTTTTGGAGCAGAACTACAATAGGGAAGTTAAATGTGAATGGTCAAACTTTGTAGTTTATGATTATTTTTAATACCTGACTAAAACCTGCATCTTTAGCGCAAGCATCTCTTGCCAATTAGAGAAATCTGTCACTTACACACTGGCTCTCATACAATATATGAATGGTAATACTATTAGTTCAGTGGTGGCAGGGGATCCTCCTTCTATTAAAACATGGATTTATGCCTGCAGGCCTAGTCAGGATCAAAGCTGTTGTCATTTAGGAAAAAAACTGCCTGTGGTGGCTCCACAGAATAAGTTCCTTCCAAGAGAAAATAGGATTCTTGCTCGGCTTATTAAGATGCCCATAGCCAGAAGCTCTTTCAACTCAGCACATCATGGCAATGCTTCTGTCAGGTCTGGGAACAAATAGAGGAGTCTGAATGCTGCTGCTGGGTAGATTTATTTTTCTGACAAAGTGGCTTTCCTCCCCCATGTGTGTGCTTGCAGTAAAATGCCCCATGGAGGAGGACAGAGACAGAAGTACTTTTTTGTTTTGTTTTTGCATATAAGGAATGGCCAGTATCCTCCCATAAGCAGCTGTTTTCCACACAATTTACAGATCATACTAGGTTTTTAAGTCCAACCTGAAGAATTCACAAAGCCTAGGAAGCCTGATACACACACTAAATACTCCTAATTACATGTCAACAAATCTTTCCCCAAGTCACCCTGATTCGCACCAACACAGCTACATTTTCTATGTACCAAAATGCAGTGAGTTGTGTGACTTCTGCGAACACATTCAAACCATACATGTGGCAAGGGTTTGCTTCAATGTAATGGCCTCCAGCATGTTTTAACCAAATCCTCAAAGCCAATTCAGTGCCTGCCTAAATACATAAGCATAACCAGCAAGCATTAGCAATGTTGATCACACTCACAGTGAATTAAAACATGCACAAGATTTCCTGAGCACACCCATCACATTTTCTTCCTCTAAGGAACGCACAGGTGCTAAAATACGTTCAGCTTTCCAGCTTTTTTTTTTTTTCTTTTGGACAGCAGCAATACAATTACCGCTCCAGGTATATTGAAATTTAAGATCTTTTTCCTCACATGCCAATAATCTGGTCCATATTAATTGCCACAGTTCAGTTCTGGAAGCACAGTTTGCCGATATGCTAGCCTATGCCCTTCACTTTCACTACACCCACACCTCTGAGAAACAAAATAGTCCCAAGTCTCACAATACCAAAAGGCTTTAAAAAGGATACCTCTCAGTCAGCATGCCTAGTATCTACCGTAGGGTCCACATATCTCCCACATGTATAACACTGATAACAAAATACAAATTCCCATCCATGTGGATTGCTTCCCTTTGGCATTTTAGCGAATTTATTGGTTTTATTTTTTTCTTAGGAAGTACGATTCAGGCACATACATATACAGTTATCTTTGAGAAAGTTATCACTACACATTAAAATACTGTTAATTCAGCTGTGGTTTTGTTTATCTTACTTTTCCAAAGATCTAAATTGTAATATATTGCTGTGTTCCCTTGGGAACACTGCATGCTTCTGTTAGATCCAGAATGATTTGCTCAGTTAAATGCAAAGAGTCTTCAGAAGCTATTCCTACTGCAGAAGAAGAACAGCAGCTCATGCTTTCTGTGACAGGCCACGGGCAAACGCAGGAGGCAGCATCTAATTTTTTTTTGCTGTGTTACCATTTAAAAGGCTTGGCCATATTATTGTTCCCTTTACAATTGTACAGCTCAGGTTCCCAACATACAACAAACAGATTTGTGGCACCATACCTTCTGTGGTCTACAATCAGTGTATCAAAATTAGAAACAATTGTTTAATGAAGAGCAACCCATATATTCCAGCAAAGTTGGTCTGAAGTTAAGCATCTTATAAGTACAGTTTTGAAAAGTAAAATCCACGTATCTCTAGGAGCTGCGGGGTTTCTGTTCTAGTGAACATCAGTCATGTATTTCATTGCTTCCTTACATCTATTAAGACCCTGGTCGGGAAAATAGTTCTGAAAAATTTAGGAATATTTCAGATGACTTCTGGGTCTATAAGTGTGATCACGCTCTTAGGAAGAAAAAGAGGAAAAATTCCTACTCACCAGAATTATATATCATGGTGACCAGGAAAATAAAGTAGAGTAGGTTCCTGCTTCCTCATGGCTTCTTTATGGCATTCCTTTCACTTTGCTGAAGTTGCTGCTCAGAGGAAATAGGAGTAGCTTTGGTAAGCAGAGTTATCCCTGCGGCTGGCTGACATAATTTAGGACAGGCAGTACATTGATTTTCTATTTCCCGTAATAGGTCACACATACAAAACGGATACGCCAATTGATTGTTCATCTAAAGCAGAATTAATTGCACACACATGGTCACACACTACAATTCCTGCCAACATGATTTGGAATGCAACTAAGAAAACCTCAGCTGCGGACATGTGCTATTGCAGAACCACATACAACTTCGATAAACTGGCAAATACTATTTAGACCTCTGACACAATGAATATAAGGCCACATTTTTGATCATATAATGCATAGTAACTACCTCCTATGGATTTGCAAGTTTTTTAGACTATGGCTTTTTCTTTTGTTTCTGGTCAGACTACCATCAGTTTGTCACTTCCAATTAACCTGAACACGTACATTTCCAGTTAGGCCTTTCCAGACTTTTGTTCACTGTTTGGCAAACACCTCTTCAGAAACGCAGCATCTCAGACTGAGATGAGCAGAACATCAGTGCATCATACTTCAATTCACTGACCATTTCAGTTTAACACTAGTCCCAACTTAGACAAGTCTACAGCAGCTAAACTGTTTCCTTCTCCCTATTAAGTGTACTAATATACCTCTGTAGCTTGACTTGGGATTTCTTTTTGTGCACTCTGAAGATTATTTCCCATTTTACACTGACAAGAGCAAAGCCTAGAAATAGATAGAAGTGGGTTTAACTCACTTTTATCTACTGTTGGTGTAAGGCTTAGCGTCGTCAAACACTGATATGCCATGCAATAACCAGCAAGTCAACTCTTTTGTAACCCCATAGCATTATTTCAGAACCCCAAAATACCAGAGTTTCACACTGAAACAGATGATAGCAAGTATGTATATGTATGTATACAAACCCTGTCAGGAATACCTGTCCTTCAGAAAATGTTCCTCTCTACCTCCCCAACTATGTATTTTGAAAACAAAACCAAAAAGATTTAAAGTATATTTCAGAACAGTCAGTTCGCCCTCTGACCACAATAAAAAAATCCCTCTGCCGTACAAAAAATACTATAGAAGTTTATTATAATTTAGGAACATGAGTAAAAGAAAAGTATTTTATAATAGCTTAAAATCCATGGCAATCTCTCCTGTCTTTGTGTTGAAATTTATAGCATATGTGACAGCACTAGGAAGGTGTGACAGAGCTTCTGATTCAATAACAGAACTGAAGAAATAGACAGCTTGCTTGCAGTGGGGATTCCTTTCACAGTTTCCCTAC